GCTGTCCTCCTCCTCTAACCCCCACTCAATCTGGTCGTAGGGGATCTCATCCACACTACCCTCATCTAAGGTTAGGACAAGGCTGTCCTTGGTCTTTACTTGCCCTGAGATAGTGTGGCCCTTCCATTGCTTACCCTTGTCCAAGTCCTTGTGCCAGAAAGTGGACACAGACGCAGACTTGGCTTCAAAAGCCACTACTTCGCGACTAAGGGAATCGTATGTAGTGGCAGGGTCTTCGCTCTTTGCGAAGAAATGTCCTCGGAGGGCTTCGGGTATAGCCCGATAAAAGAGGCCAACCAACTGGGTGTCTGTAACTCCGTGGTCAGGGACAGCTACCAGTTCGTCCATGGTACTCTTAAGYGCCCTGGCGCTCTTCCACTTACGAGCGTGGATCGTCTGCAGCCTGTCTGAGGCCTTAACGCTACGGGCAACATCGGCGAACCTCTCGCGCAACAGCTTCAAGAACTCAGTGAGGGAAGTGAATGAGGAGTACGCGACGGGGTCATCGCTGCAATTGGCAGCGCGAACTAGGGACCTTGCAAAGCTGGCGGCTTCATCTCTGAGCGCGTGAATCGCAATCAGAACCTGCTGATCCGGGGAGACCTGTTGCAGACGCACATAGGTCTTAACATTGGCCTCCCAATTGTCGAAGTTCTCTTCCCTTTTTCCACTGTAGGAATCAGGGAATTTGACTTTGACCAGTTTCCGACGAGGAGGACGTGCCTCCTCCTCCTTGGGAGTTGCCGCTTTGACGCCCTCAATGGCGCCGACACAGAACCGCTCAGTCTTGTCGAGGCGGTGACCCACCTCGGTCCCTATAGCGCCTACCAGCTCACGCGCAAAGTCCCGAAACCCCAACTTTATGGAACGCACAGCTATGTGTTGACTCCTACTAAAATCATATTGCTCCGCCTGAATTCGTGCCAGGCGTGCAAACGTTTCGGGCTATGACTCGCATTTGCGCTGGGAGTTCGGTCTGGGCGGCCAGTTGCTCTTCTATATTCTTTACTTCCTCTAATTCTTCTGCCGCCTCTGCTGCCGCGTCCACTCTCCTCTTCTTCTCCCTCATCACTGCCAACTTCCACTCCATCTTCTTTTCGTCTTCCAATGCTTGCCGCTTCACGACATCCTTTTCTGCTTCCCAAGCTCTCATAGCGGCTTCCTGATCATCTTTAGAGATATACATCGCCACCTCTTCTTCTTCGCCCAATGATAAGTTGGCGACCCACTCGAAGATTCGCTTCTCCATCTCTTCATCCCTACTAGCACTGTACTGCACCCTCTTCCTCTACAATGGCGTTTCATCTTCTTCCTCCTCTTCCACCTCTTTCAACTTCTCTTCTTCTTCTTTCTGTATCCTCTCTTTCTCTTTGGCCATCTCTTCCTCTATCTTCTTCAGTTTGGCCGCCTGCTCCTCCTTCAAGGCCTTCTTCTTGGCCTCCTTCTCCTTGTTCTCCTGCAGAATGGCGGCCATCTTCTCCTCCTCCTCCTTCGTGTAGGGGTTGGTGGAAGTCCCACCACAAGTGGGCCCTACTCTACACGTAAAAGTGGGCCAAAAGCCCAGAGGAAAGAGGAGACGCCAAAGGGTCCCCCAGAGGGAGAACCCAACAAGTACCCCATACATCGGATAGTTATCCATCGTGGTGTTGGTGCACGACAAAGGTCCCACTCCTCACCACGTAGACCTGCCCGGACACTCTAATCTACTGACTGACTCCCTAAGGACCACAGGATAAGACCATGTCAATGATGATCACAACTAACCCAAGACTACTCTAAGGCTGTCACTACAGAACCAAGAGCTGATAAGGAGGTATTTAAGAAGATCCCCAAAACTTCGCAAGAATTCTTTATCGTCGCAGACAGGACGACGCGATCAGCTTGGTTCCTCTGGCGATTTCAGCCCACAACTCAGCCCGTCCAGCCTCCTGTGCCACACCGAGCAGCCCGTCGGTCAGTACCGGTCCTTGGAGGGGTTCGTATCCCTCGGGACAGTCGAGTCGTCAGACACGGATCATCAGCCTTCTGGGTCCGGTAGGGGAGTGGCTCAACCAGGCCTCAACACTTAAAGACGGCCTTCGTTTCAGCCTACAACTCGGAGTTTAGACCCTCCACACTGAACTCAGTAGACCTGCCGGACAGTACCGGTCATTGGGCTAGACGAGTTGTTTAACGAGCGCTCGCAGCTCATGCCCAGGTCTCCAAGTGCCAGAGTAGAGCTTTGGTCCTACTAAGCCCGTGCAGGTTTGGCAGCAAGGCCCTATCCTTCATCCACAGAGTCCTA